ATGTAGGCATTCGCTTTGTGGTCGCAATACATTTTGAACTTGTAAAAACCTGCACATAATGATATACCAGTATCATCTTGTTACGAGCATACGCGCAGTCTAAGAGCAAAGATCTTAATAATTATAAAGATGTCCGAATATAAATAATAAATTTACAAAAAAACAATATCAGGTAAGTAGGGGGTCTACCCAAAAACGAAAAACATGGAAAGGGGTCTACGACACAAAAAAGTTTGGGAACCTCTGGTATAGGTGATGGAATAATATTATCATACGTTCAAAGAAATATTTGATAAATATATCTTTCAGTAATTGTTAAGAAACTAGAACACACGAGCTATTTCATACATTGTTTTAATTAAACAATGATCTTATTACTTTTATTGGAAAAGATGTTCTACTGTATCAAATATAGTAATAGTATATAGAATTGTTTCTATGACTACCATAACTTTATTTATCTACAGAAATTCAAATGTCAATGTCATCTTGATGGAGTAATTATGAGTATAAGTGATAAGTGGAATGTACAAATGGAATAGTATTAATCATAGGCATGAAGAGCAAATAAACAGAATGATTTTTCAATGCCAACCTGTGATGGATTGAACAATTTTTGCTGGAAACTAATAGCTCTTCGCATAGCGCACAGGCCACACCATTCCACATCTCGCACCGAATATACGTGTTTATTGTTAGGCGCTCACTTCCCGTGAATAATTCGAAATATTTCTTCGAGCGTCGAGGTGGTGAAGGAGGAAGAGTATGCGAGAGTTGGATGTTTCAGGGATGCTTGTCAGGTTGGCATCATGCGGTTTGTCAATATGCGACCGAAGGGGTTGGGAATATGGGGGTTGGTTGGATTTGGAGCGTGTTGGTGCGTTTAGCTGCTTTAGCTGTTATTAATTTCTCGCTCCACATCATATCGTGCTAATCATTCTGCGGCTTCACGCATGAGATGAGGGTGGCGCGTCAATAATTTCAATTTCCTCGCACCGAATCCCACCCTCCGCCCCGTATCCACACAGGCATCGCATATTAACTCCGTGGCAAACATTTTCTTTTCTCTCGCCACAACGAGATTCGATTGAAGTGGAAAAAATAATAATAATATCCAGTTAACGCCGTCGCACGTTTATTTCTAGTCTTTTTTTTGCATCAATACTCTTTCCACCATCCAGTGTTTTCTTTTTATTTTTTTGAGAGCGAACCGCAACGTCGAATTAGTATGCAAATATTGTTTCGCCGTTCCCCGGAGTGTCATATGGCATAAATCACCCCCTGATTTATTTACGCTCCCGACTCTGAGGGTGATTTATATTTTATGCCTTTCTATGTGCGTTACATTATCGACACATTGTACATACACTGAGATACCTTTGTATACACTACAAATATATAGTTTATTAACGATTACGTACATATTTACAACTAAGTTTCATATGTTCAACATTTTCTTTATAATTTTCGAGTTGTTAATAGAGTTCTTATCAATTATTAACGAATAGTTAGTATCCAGTAACAAATGTGGATAAAACTACAAATAGAATATGTAAAATATTTAATTCATTCGACTATTTTTTACTTATTGATTACTTCTTCTAAATTGTATTTATTTAACTCCTATTTTTTTAAATAAATGATCAGAATTGTATATCTTTTTAAACACTAAATCATAACGACGTACCAGATTCTCGACATCCTTTTTGAATCTTAGAGCAATAACTAAGAGCCGCATGCGGCTCCGGAGCCGGAAGTTCCTGCCCATTTATTTACTTTATCCAGTTATAAAAAAAAAGTCAGTTGGAAATATAACAAATCATTTTTCTTGTTTATTTAAAATATCTTGTATACCTTTCAATACTTACATACATATTTCTTGTTTATATAATATCATTTTGAAAGAGTGCATTTTAAGCTTTTCGCTTTATATAAAAAAAAAACATAGTATAAACATGGTTTGAAATTTAGAGTAAATTTTATAGTTCTACATAAATTTGTAAAAAATACACAAAAAGCTATAATTAATTTTAAATTACTCTTCAATTTTGACCTGCCTGTACATATTTTATGTCAATTTAAAAGCTGTAAAACTTTACAAGTTAATTTTCCGTTTAGTTTCATCTATAAATTCGTAATAATTCTCTTAGCATAAGTCTATTTATGCATATTGATCT